CTGCCCATTCCAACATGGTGGAAGTATGTTTGGTGCCTCTGAGAGCCATGCACATTGCCCCATTTTTAGGAACATGGTGGTTCTTTGTTGCCATTAAGCAAGTTGTAGCACTCTGCTCACAGAACCCGTTTAAATGCTCCATAGCAGAGCTCCTGAAAGAGTTATAGCCATTTGTGCTGGTGAACCAGAAAGCCACCACTTTGTTTTAAATAAGCCATGCAGTTTTTACTGCACTTCTCTTGCAAAGAAAGCCTATATGAAAAAATGATGTTACCAAGAATGTGCTTAGCTCTCATTTTTGTGGGTCTAGAAGCCCTTTAACTTTCTTAGACTTTATATGGAAATTCTTGCCCCATGCTGGCAAGCCAATATGTTGTAGAAGGCCCCTTGTTTGTTCCCTGTTGCTCAGCCCTGAAATAAACACACCAAAACTATATTATTTGCAATACTGTCTGACCAATAGCTTAAGTGTATTTCTAGATAACTCTTATATTCTAAATTAACCAATCTCCATTAATCTGTGTATTGCCACAAGGCTGTGGCTTATTGCAGCATCTGTCTCTGGCGGGGCTATATGGCCTCTCTCTGACTTCACCTTCTTTCTCCCACTTTAGTTTTCCCAGCCTACCTAAGTTCTGCCTTGTGCAGGCCTAAGACAGTTTCTTTATTAACAAATGGTATTCACAGCATACAGAGGGAAATCTCACATCAGGAAAATGCTAACATGAATACAGGAGTGCTTTTGTCTCTTCAAGAGGCTGATTTTGACTCATTTGAATATATTACCAAGTTCAATTGATTGATATAATGCTTATTACACTTTAATTTTTGAAGGAATTTCATATTGTTTTCCATAGTGACAATCTCAATTTATATTTTCACCCACCATACACTAATGTTCCCTCTTTTCACATCCTGTACAGTATGTGTACATATATATGTATAATTTTTAATTTTACCCATCCTACATAGCAAATAGGAGGTTTTAACTTGAATTCTAGATATTTACAATAGATAAATTATTTGCTAGATTAAGAAATGTTATAAATGCAAAATTATAAATAAAAAGTATTATAAATGATTCTAGAGAAAGATAAAGGATCATAGATTATTAAGGACAATCATATAACAAAGTTGGAGGGATCTAAGAGAAATGAATTGATAACCTGTTATTATTCTATTAATATCCTAGAAATAGGTTATTAAAACTGAACATGTAAAAAATGGAATATATGACCCTTGACTATTGGTGATTTATCAGTGATTAAAAGTCTTCTAGTAAAGAAATTCCCTGAAACTTATAGATTCATTTGTAAATTTATCTAGTATTTAATGAGTATGTCATTAATAAAGATTTTCAATATTTAGTTTTCTTCATTGTATAGATTCAGTCTTAAATGACAACTTTCTTATGTCTATCGACACATACAGAATAATATTTGAATAGCTAGAAGCTGAAATCTAGCCAAGTTGATACATCGAAGTCACTATCAGCGTTTGTTCATCAATTTCACACCAATACGTATGTTCTTAACTCATATGTAAATTTTAAATAATAGGAAAAAAATAAACTTGCCCTTAATATGATACTACTATTTTATTAGCATATTAATATGCTTTGTCAGAAGAGGATTCAAAGTCCTTATGTGCTTTTCACTTTTATTTGATAGTTTATGTGCAGGTAATTAAGACATTAAGACTAAACAGCACAACCAAAAGTATTCAGTGTTGTAAGTTTAAACACTTGCTTCCAGTTGGTGCTACTATTTCGGGAGAGGGGTGGAACTTTAGGTAATAGGGTTTAGTTGGGAGAAGTTGGTCATAGGGAGCCAGCTTTAGAGGTCATAGCTCAGTCCCACTTCTCGCCTGAGCTCTCTGTTTCCTGGTCCATAGCAATGTGAAAATTTCCAGACTGGTACCTCTGTCTTGTACTGTGTTACAGTAGCAGCAAAAGTAACTAATACATACAATTGTTACAGAAAAATGGGGTGGTTTTCTATGATAAACATAACCAAACAGTACACAGAAACTAGAGCTGGTTTGATTGGTGGAAATATGTAATATTTTAAAGCAACGAGCTACAGGCAGGGTAAATGCACAGTGTTTCACAGGCAATTCTGGCTGTGGGAAACTAGAATGCCAATAAATATGAAGGCAGGAAAAATATGTTCATGAGGCTTTAGAGGGGATCAAGAAGTTAATTTGAAAGTAGACAGGGCATCAATAATATTATATTCAAGCACACTAGTGACTATATTCTACTTGCCATGAAAATCAGGATGAGGTTGAATTAAAACAACAATGATGGATTACTTTGTTGTTGACAGAGGAAACTTCTATCTTTGCCTACCATTCAGGCTGTTGCATGGTTATTGCTCACTGGGTTCAACTAGATTTTTAGTGATAAGAAAAGTGGAACAGAACGATCTTAAAAATATACAGTATGTCAAAAAGCATGTGAGCATGGCTGAAGTGTTAACAAATGCCCACAGTCTAGGTGTAGGTGAGAAACCGCTCTGATTGCTGAGTAGATGGTGACATTAATGAGAGACCACATACTTTAAACCGGGATGAAAGAAAAGTGCCTCAATGGAATGTCAGTGCCTGTGAAAGGTTTCCAGGTGTAAAACTGAAAACTCATTAAATGATTAATACTCAATGAAATTATAATGCCTGAATAAAGTAATATAAAAGTTACCTGTTTAAAATGAACTTCTAGGGAAAAGGTTTCCCAAGTTTAGAAATCCCGATTCATATAGGGCTCTTGAAACTCTTGTAGCTACTGTTGCTCTTGTAAAGAGTGGTCAGGACACATCATGAGCCTATAGCAGAACATGGCAGCAGCATCCGTATAGCAGCATCTATATAGTACTGGTTTAGAGCCATGAACAATATAAGAGCCGTGGAGTCATGAGGTGTTGCTCCAGAGTTCCAGAGATGTTGAAAACTATAAGTAATGTGTAGTATGGTCAGATTCCCTAAGAATCCCTGAAATAGTGACTAGGTGAGCAGTAAAATTGAATTCAAGATTTCAACAAAGATCTCAGGTTGCTGAAGATGCCCAAAACCCAGGATGCCAATGAACTATAAACGTACAGAGCCAGCCCAGGAGAGAGATATAGGCTGCTTCAGACAGTAGGGTGTGTGGGTAGGACTGCTTATCTTGTTGGAGTCTAACGATTGTTGAGTCCTGGACTTGGAGTTGTAAGATTTGGTGATTGTCCTGTTGCTTATTAATCTTTCTTTGGTCCCATACTTCCCTGCAATACCCATATCCCATCCTTTTCAAGTAGGATTGTTTAATCTGGCCAGTTTCATATTGTGAATATTTAATTAATTTTAATAGGTTTCACAGCTAAGAGTTTGACTTACGTCTTAGAATAGGCGTTGGATGTTAGAAATTTGAAACTATTGGGATTGGTAAGATTACACAGACATTTGAATTGAGATTGGATTTATGCTTTGTTAGGAGTTACCATTAGCTTGTGGAGGCCAATGACAAAATGCTCTGGGTTGGGTATGAAATGCCCACTACAGACTCAGGTATCTAAATAAATGCCTCCCATCTGATAACATCGTTTATGGAGGTTGTAGAGTAGAGTCTAACTGGAGGCAGTGGGTCACTCAGTGCCGGCTATAATGGTTATAGGCTCATTCTACATCCAGTATGACTACTAATTTAAGTGTAAGGAAATGAAAAGTCTTAGTTGTAAGCTAGTAACATTAGAAAATTTTCATCATGTACATTCTCAAACTGTGAGACAAAACAAATCCTTTTCCCTTTAGTAAATCCTTATGGACTTATTGTGTTGCAATAATGAAAAAAGAAACTAATATATCCATTTACTAGACTTAAGGTTTTGTAAATGAGACAAAGAAGCAATGCTTGTAATTATTACAGTCCTGATTTTTGCAAGTGGTCATATGGCTGTAACTTCCATTTATAATGATAGCAAGTTGTTTTCTTGTGTTTTTCACATTTGTATATTCAAGCCAGCCTGGGCCACACACACACACACACTGCGGGGGGGGGGGAAGGAGAGGGAGGTATTTTAGATCACTAAGTATGTGGATCAGTATAGAGTGTTCCAAACAGCAATTTGACGCTTCCAAACTGTAAGCTTGTTACACTGTCCTTTTTCTTACTGCTGGGAAAGCCTGATACAAAAATCTCATTCTCCACCATAGTCCTGCTACTCATTATTAGAACCCGAGAGTTCCAGCTGAGATGGAAGATTTCTGTGTTCCCTTGAAATGATCTCCTAACCTTTGAAACAACAGTGGAGGGAGGGTGGAAAAGAGAGAGAGAGCTAGAGAGAAAGAGAGAGAGAGAGAGAGAGAGAGAGAGAAACTATTTTCTTCTCATAATATCTGTTAGAGGCCATGAGAGATACAACAAGTAATAACTAGTGTTCAACAGGCCAACCTACCAGATGAGCGATTCCCTGATAGGGAGCCCCACCTAAAGTTTGTGGAGTTACTGGCTGTGGAAAACAATCGCTCCTGTCTGTAATTTCTCTCATAAGTCACTTCATCTCTTCCCTTGGAACTTCATTTCTTCCCTAAGAATAGCTTTGGGTACTTTACCACTGCTTGCGTGTTTATCGCATGCAAATATTCCACCTACTGAGCACATATATCTGTGGATGGTCAAGAAGATGACCTTTCGGCAGCGTCTCCGCTCCCGCCTGGGCCGCAGCCGCACACCCTCCCTTCGGGGAGGAGGAAGAGGAGGAAGGAGGAGCGGCTTGAGGAAGGCCGAGGGCGGCAGTCGCGCCGCGTTGGGGAGGAAGCTGAGCCTGCGACCGCAGGGAATCCATCATATGGGCTTGCAAGAATGCCAGAGAATGTGGAAGATTCAAGGAGAGTCACTGAACAGTTGGGGTGACGGTCTTGGAGATTTGAAAACAGTGCCACTGTCACCCAGCCTTCACTGTTACCTTGGGCTAGCTACCACTTGTTTACACCAGTTGTTTCATTGTGTATGGGGGAATGGTAGTATGCTCGTCAGATTTTTGTCAATTGGACACAAGCTACAGTTATTTGGAAAGAGGAACTCTACATTGAGAAAATGCCTCCATAAGGTTTGCCTGTAGAAAATAGCTCCAGAGGTTAAATGAAGCTGGGCAGAGTTCATCCATGAGGCTTCATAGTTCCTGCCGATGTTTGGGGATAGCTGCTCCAGAGAGAAATTGACCCGTTAGGATTAGGTAGCTAGTCACAATGAAGAAAATTAGTCTGAAAACCTTCCGGAAATCTTTCAACCTGAGTAAAAGCAAAGACGAAACCGGGTTCATGGTGGTTCAGCCCCAGACCCTCGCTGGCGACTTTGTGAAAGATGACTCTTTATTTGGGAGCTGCTATGGCAAGGACATGGCCAGCTGCGACATTGGCGGTGAGGATGAGAAAGGGAAGAACAGGTCCAAAAGCGAGAGCCTTATGGGCACCTTGAAGAGGCGGTTGTCCGCCAAGCAGAAGGGCAAGGGCAAGGGCAAGGGCGGCACTGCGCCCACAGATGAGGATACCTTTTCCTCTGCTTCAGCGCCTGGTGGCCTCAAGGATGTGCATGCCCCACGGCCCATCCATTCCACATCACTGCGCAGTCACCACTACAGCCCCACACCCTGGCCGCTGAGGCCCACCAGCTCAGAGGAGACATGCATCAAGATGGAGATGCGGGTGAAGGCACTGGTGCATGCTGCCAGCCCGGGCCCAGACATTGGTGTGCGCAAGGAGCTGCGGGAGTTGCAGCCCAAAGAGCTGCAGAACCTGCAACCTAGGGAGCTGTGTGACCAGCAGCCGGAGCCACGTCCTGAGTCCCTCTGCAGCCCTGGTTCACCCGGGGACCTGCGCCTCCATCTGGAGGAACACGTGCCTGTAGTTATTGGACTCATGTCTCAGGACTACCTTCAGGACACCGTGCCTTTAGAAGACGGGATGTGCCCTTTGGAAGGGCCGCGCAGCTGCTGCCTGGACACGTCCTCACCCATGGAAGTGTCAGCTGTGTCCCTACCCGGGGCGAGCGCCTTCTCCGAAGATGACAGTCAGGTGGACCAGGACCTGGTTGTAGCCCCAGAGATCCTTGTCGATTCTTCAGTGAACAACTTGTTGATTGGCACCACAGGAGTCATGTTGCAGAGCCCTAGAGCAGGTCCTGACGATGCCCCTCCCCTCTCACCATTGCTACCTCCAATGCAGAATAACCCAATCCAAAGGAACTTCAGTGGCCTCTCGGGCCCGGATGTGCACATGGCTGAAAGCGTGCGTTGTCATTTGAATTTTGATCCCAACTCTGCACCTGGGGTTGCCAGAGTTTATGACTCAGTGCAGAGCAGTGGTCCCATGGTTGTGACAAGTCTAACGGAGGAGCTGAAGAAGCTTGCAAAACAGGGGTTGTACTGGGGTCCCATCACACGCTGGGAGGCAGAGGGGAAACTGGCAAATGTGCCAGATGGTTCTTTTCTTGTTCGGGATAGTTCTGATGACAGTTACCTTTTAAGCCTGAGCTTTCCTTCATGGTAAAACACTTCACACTAGAATTGAGCACTCAAATGGTAGGTTCAGCTTCTATGAGCAGCCAGATGTAGAAGGGCATACGTCTATAGTTGACTTAATCGAGCATTCAATCAGGGACTCTGAAAATGGAGTATTTTGTTATTCAAGGTCTCGGTTGCCTGGATCTGCGACTTACCGGGACAGACTGACTAATCCAGTGTCCCGGTTCATGCAGGTGCGCTCTCTGCAGTACCTGTGCCGCTTTGTTATACGTCAGTACACCAGAATAGACTTGATTCAGAAACTGCCTTTGCCAAACAAAATGAAGGATTATTTGCAGGAGAAGCACTACTGAAAGATTGGGAGCCCTGCTTCTTGCACTTTGGGGTTCAGAAACAAGACTGGAGTACAGTTTACAGACTTACATCGCCATTGAAGTCTTTGCTGCCATAACTATTTTAGTTTTTACGTGTGAAAGAGTCATCAGTTTGTTCAGGGGTGGGGAAGTGTCTGCAAGGTGTCTTGAGTTTATTTTGATTCTTTGGAAAAGGATGTCTTGAGGATCTAGAAGTGTGAGTTATCTTTCTTTAATGTGCAGAATAATCACAATGTGAATGACCAGATTCTCCTTAACCCCCTCCCCAGTCCTTTGCTGCTATCCACTGTGATTCTTATGGATTAAAGCACATTTCATGTGTATTTAACCCTAAGTAAAGTTGAATGAAATGTAAAGAATAAAAATTGTTATGACGTTAAATGCCCAGTTGAATAAATGTTTGGGATAAAACATATCTACAAATACACTGAAACATGATTTCTAACTCTCACACTTTAAAAAAGGTTTATTCAGAATTGTAAATTGACACAACCTTGTTTAATGGAATGCAAATCTGTAACATATCTGTACAACACTTTTCTAAATTATTTTTTAAGGATGTGATAATTGTTTTGGTTGTGAGAAGTTGAATTTCTTTCTGTTGCCTTCATTTTCATCTTGTGATTTGTCTCTTTTGATAAATGGCCTTACATTAAAAATTGTAAACAAATATATACCAAAAAAAGGAAGATGACCTTTCATTTAGCTATACAGTTTTGATATATAGAATATATACTGAGACATGCTTCATGACTGGGTCTATTTGTCCTACAAAGACTGTAGACACTATAAGAGTCTGCCTTGTTCTTTTGCTCCAACTAACTGCGTATAATTAGCTCACTTTCAATTCAGAACAAGTCAAACTAGACGAAAGACTTTTTGCAAACAGATCATAAGTTTGAAAACTTACATCTATGTCCAAGGTCAGAGCTGCAGATGTCCAACCAAGGTTTCTAAAGGAAAGCATGCCAATTTTTCACTTTCCAGTCTACTTACAAAGACCTATGTCTCAAAGCTTATCTCACTGTGTCCCCCTTATCTGGTTGCAGTCTTGCTCTAATGGCCTTGGGACCTTATAAAGCCATAGCAACACTCAGCTCTCTAATCACTTCCCATAGGAATGTAATTTTCACCAATGAGAAGATAACTCTTGTAATTTATTTATCACTTCAAGGCTCATGAAGGAAAGGAGTTTTTAGAATAGAAGAGGAATAAGCTAGGAGAAGAAACAAGAAAAAGTTAGAAGTAGGACAGGATAATTAGAACAGAAAGAGAAGAATAAAGAAATGGGCATGAAAAAGTACATAGTAAAAGATTCGTTTGCTACCCTCAGATCCCAAGCCTCTCACTTGCCATAATGTTCTCTCTGAACCCTGAGAGTGAATTAGACTGGTACTCAATAGCCATCATTAAATCTCTATCAACCTAATATCATCAGTGTCACAGAGCAGTGTGACATCCACAGTCACTCTGCCTATTATATGAAACTAAAGAACATATGTCTTAATACACACGACAGTGAAAGTACATTTTTAGCCTTTTCAGTTGGAAAAAAACCTGTTTCTGTATGTCTTTATTAATATACACAGGAAAAGAAGAATAATTTACAAGTAAATAACACATATGAGATACAACAGGAAATATTAATTTGTTCAAGCAATAAAATTAAACTTGGAATAATGGCTGAGGTTCTAGTCAGAGCTCAGTAGTTTACAGCAATCCATTCTCATTTCCATTGTTCCAGATTTTGTGCAGAGGCCGAAATTAAACTGGCTCTGGTGTAAGTAAGTGTCCTCAGGTCTCATTTTTTTCTGGGTTGCAGGATTTCTTTTGTTTCTTGTTTTCTCCAAAAGAAGTGGTTATTGTGTTTTTTGCTTGGTCTCTCATTGCATAACATCCTTTGTTCTATAGTTCAGAGAACCAATATAAACATTTTGTTAAATTCTGAATGTTATACCTAATTATGAATTCTAGAAATAATATCAGGACAGATTTGGACACACAGCAATACATTGTGAGACAGGACTAACTGGAAGTTCTGTCCCTCATTGAACTGCCACATGACCCTGCTTTCACTTGTAGACCTTCGTGACATAGTGGGTGTCCTGAAACTAGTGCTGTTTTAGAGACAGGATGTAATAATTCCCCACAGTGGGGCTACTTTTCTTTCCCATAAGCTCAGTCATGGTGTGCTAAAGCCGTGGGTCTCTCTCACGAAGCCTAGAAGAAAGATCAACTATATGAATTTTTGGTGATGTAGTGTGGTTTTTTCTCAGAGGAACCCAGCAACCTTCTTCTTTATCAATTAGACTCTAGGACTTTAATTTCCCCATATGGGCACTGGCTGAGGTGCTATACTTGTATGTTTTTAGATCAAAATTAAGTTTGTGTTTACTAGACCTGATCTTCACTTAGGCACAACAATAAGAGCTTAATAGATGGCTTCTAGAACAGCATGATTAATTGTTAAGGCTATACGTCTCTTGAAATTAGATTATTCCAATAGTCATTTGGCTCTGTTGTTCATTACAGTAACTTATATACAGCCGGTTTTAATGAGCAAATGTCAAGACTCCTAATACCACTTGACCACACTTTCCCTTTTAAAATTATTAGTTGCTGTTATAATTTCAAATTGACTGAGAAAAATAAATGCATATCACCTGATAATGCTAGGATGTTCTTTATATTTCAAAAGTAAGCATCACAAATTTGGTCCTCTCCATTGGTATAGAAGTTATTTGTATTCTCTATATTGCCCTGATTGGTTGAACAGGACTGACATGGTAATAAATGTATTCTAATTTTACCACCTCTGATATTCAGACACTTTCCTTTGTAGGGTCAAGATAATCCTGACATTCCAAACAAATTGGGTATAAGCCTTGTTTGCATACTATTTTAGTCAACAAATAAAATCCAGACATTTTTAAAGGACATCAGAATTAATGAGGTCATATAAAAAGACAGCCTTAAATTTTGTATTCCTTCTACCATTTGTCAAGTTCTTAAAATACACCTCTAGACCCATTTTCTAAGTTCTAAAGTGTATATTGGAAAGATCATGATGATTTTCTTTTTGTCAGTTTCATTTTCTACTGTATACAGTGAAGTCTTCTGGGACTTCAGTCTGCTTAAAGACCTTGGAATACCATGGGGACGAAAGTCTAATTATAGATTCAGAAGAATATTGGGATCATGAAACTGAATTCTCTAGAAGAAAACCTGCAGTGCCAACAAGGCAACTACTTTCAAGAACATCAGGGGTAACTCTCTTGAGGCGGAAGAGGAATGTATTTTTCCTATTATCAAGAAACTTGGTGAACTATAAGAGTTCAAAATCACCATAGTCATTGAGTTCTACTTGTATGTAGTCATTCTCATTTTTGATCCCACTTATGCTCACTATTTTCTATTGTGTAAATTAATATAAATGTTTATAATCTGATTTTAATTGAGACTGGGCTTAAAATATGTTAGATATAATGAATTATATTGAATAAGGTAGCTTTTGAGGGGGCCAAGTTGAAGGGTATATAAATATCTTCTCTATGTGAATAGAGCGTTGTGAATCTCCACAGGGCTCATTTTCACTACATCACTTGAATGATTTTATTTATTCATGAAATTATAAACCACTCTGGCATAAGATGCTCCAGAACAGGTTCAAATAAGAATTCCTTTTTAATGAAAAGATGACTGCCATTTTTCTATAGGAACTGTCCTTGTTTTGGGTGTGTATGTGTATATGCATACATGTGTGTATGTGTGTATGTACATGCATGCATGTGCATGCGTGTGAAATTTTACATAAAATCTAGAGAAATACTTGGGAAGAAAGGATTACAAGTATGTTCTTTTTTCACACAGAAATATCTCTGCTGGACTGGGGAGGTCTGGACCAGGTGCCTTGGTTAGGAAGGAATTCTAGGGAATGAGACATCAGTGTTGGTAACTGGAGCATGATATAAGCACTGATGTGATCTCTGCTTCTTCCAAAGCTTCTTTAAGCAGCTCTGAGGATGCTTACTTTGCAGTTATAATCCTGGAGTCTTAGGTTTTGGGTCAGTGTATCCTTTGCAAGAGAGAATGAGCACTTACTTATGATGAAGTACTCTTTTGTAGCTCCAGTAGCCTTGGACAGCATCATGAAGATTGCTAAAGGTGTTAAAATATATAGAAAATTTAATCACAATACTGCTCATATATGCAAAAAAACCCAGGAACAGCCATCAATATACACACACGAAGAGAAATGTGGGTTTTGTATAAAATAAATGCTTCAGAAAGGGCTTTTGAATTAACTTTCATCATCTCTCCTCAATTAGTCAGGGCAGTCATCTCACACCAGACGCCTGGTAAAATTAAGAGGGAATATAAAGATAGAGAGAAAGCTCAGTGGATAAAGCACGTGTCATGCAAGTATGAGGGCCCATGTTCAGGTCTTCTGCAAGCATAATACATGCCTAGCAGACATGGTGGCCCACCTGCAATTCCAGCACTTATGAGACAGATAGACATTCCTGAGAACCCGATGGCTAGCTGGATTAGCTACACTGGTCAGCATTAGGCTCTGTGAGAGGTTTTAAGATCAAGGAAATTGCTTGACATCAATCCTTGACCTTTACATGCATACCCACACACATCCATATGTGTCTGCACACATCACACACACAAGCCTACATAGATGAACATGTAAACACACATATAAATAGACCAGAAACATACCCATACAAAAGAAAAAGAAAACAGTTTTCACTGACCATAGAAAAAGGTCACAGGGTATACACAAATATTTAATTGTACTTGTGATAGTGATTAAGCTTATGTCCAGCTTTGCCTTTTTTAAATGAAGTATTCTTTATAATTTTGATGTTGAATTCAGTATGATTTGTATAATAATTTAGTGTTAGAAATCTGAAATACATTTTCTGTCCCTAATTCATTAAGGGGTGTGCATTATTTTAAATATATTTGAAATGAGTCTGTCTTGTCACATGCTTACTTAGAATTTTCCTCTAGATATTAGCTGTAGTAAATATTAAAATGAAATGCTAATTTCCTGGAACAACTTTGTTAATATGACAGATAATTTTTTCCTCATTAGAAGATATATTAGCCTCAAATATTTCTGACATGCATATTTCTCTACTTTCAGAAATAAATTTCATGAGTGATGACTTGGCGATCCTGCTCGACATACAGTATAGGCTTCCTATCCTGCTTCTGGGCTCTAGAAGGTGACTTCAGGTAGATCCTTTCCATTATTCCACTCTTCATATGCTTTTTTCATCATTTTGTCCAATGGGAGTTACCATGGCTTTGATAACAGTTCTTTCAAGATCCATGCTGTTAAATACTTTTGCCCTATCCTGCATTCCTGTTGGGAGGCTGTAGATCTCTTA